TTTCTGGAGCTCTCCTTGGAGCTTGCTTTCCACATATCTCCTGGTTCTTACCCATCCTGTGCTGGTGAATGCTTCATAACTAACTGCCATTTGAGGGGATACCTGTGTGCATATGTATTTATGTGCCAGCAAAGGCCACAGTATCACTTAAATATAACATGAAAACCCCATTGACAGTCTCTTTCATATACTTTTAGAAATAACATGACTTTTTAGGCTAAAAAAGCACACTTACTTTGCTTTGCCATTTGTGGCTTGCTTTTTCTTTCGATACCTCAGAGGTCAACATAACTTGCTATATCTTGCAAAAATCTCCCATCCATTTTTATAATTTGATAGTGCAACAGATAACTCAGCAGCTAGAAGACCAAAACCACCGAATGGCTTGGAGGGAGAGAAACAACAGAAATGACAGCTGTGCTGGCTTAATGAATGTTCTATAATTTATCTCTGAATACATTTCTAATATCCATTGCAATTGCTAAACAGAACACGCCAACAAAATTACGGTTAACGGATTTATTAAGGAAGTTAATGAGTTGTAATGCCAGTGGAAAGTGCTCAAGCTTGAGTTTGTATCAGGACATGTTACAAAGTCCTGTCGAGTCTGTTAACAAATGCCCAAAGGGCATGCCACTCTGCTATCAGCCCCAACCAGAAGGCATTCAGCTTAAGCTCTGTGGGTTAGCAAACCCAGCTCCCGGAATTAAATGCCCAGATGCACCCTCCTCCATGGAGTCTTAACACCAATGCACTCAGCTCCACTTCCATGGGTCAGCAAGTCTAACTTCCCCAATTAAGTGCTCAGAGGGACCCCACTCTGCAAGCCAGTCTCCTGCACAAATGCACTCATCTTTACTCCCTCCCTTGGTTGAGAAACCCATCCCTCCGTTCCATGCTCTACTGCTCCTGATACTCTAGCTCCCTTCTAGATCCAGGAGCTTCACTATGCAGGGATCTCAGGTCTGGCTCTTGCTGGTAAAGGGATTCCCCCCCTCCTGGTTCTCAGGGGGCTTATTTTATACACAGCAGGCTGGCTCTTCTTCTTCTACCTTCTTACCAGATCCATGCAGGGAAAGGTCGTTTGGTGGGAGTTAGAGAGTTTGGCTCGAAAAGCCACATTCAATCATGCACTAGCCCTAAAACAGCCAAGAAAACCCTATGGGACAGTTCAAACCTGCCACATTAGGTTGCTATGGATAGGAATCTACTTGGCGGCACCCAACAACACCACCAGCAATAAACCAAGTTCACTGCCATTGAGTCAATTCTGACTCGTAGCAACCCGATGGGACAGGGTAGAACTGTCCCTGTGGGGTTCTGAGATTGAAATTCTTTATGGGAGTAGGAAGCCTCCTCTTTCTCCCTCAGAGCAGCTGGTAGTCTGAACCGCTGACGTTGTGACTAGCACCCCAATGTGTAACCACTGCAACACCAGGCACCTTTCACCAGCAATAGTGTCACAAAATCAGACACACTTGAGAAAAAAAAATACTTGATTAAATACTAATACTCAATAGAACTAAGAAGTTGCTTATCTCACATATGCATGAAAGTAATTCTGATATAAATTCTGAGGGATATATTTTTCCCATCATGCATTTGTTTACCAGTGGTGTGAGTAACTTCTTTCTTGCGTCAGATAATGGTTTTCAAACACTGGAAGAAGATTCTCCCCTTATTTTCTGCTATTCACAATGCTAACAGCTATGAGCATGACAAAATTTGATATTTAATTTGCATTATTAACATTTTCTCCCTTTCTTTAGACAACTAACAAAACAGAAACAGTAAATTAAGTCCTAATTGACTATGTTTACTGATTTGCATAGTATAAGTACTTTCACTATGGTTCATTTTAAGCTATCAACTGCACAGAAACTCCCAGGGTTATCTGGTTTCCACTGTGCAGATGGCATAGGTGAGGATCTGCCTGCATCCCCCAATGTGTAGCGGAGTAGAACAGGTGCCTCCGGGGGGACTTGAACTTCCAACCTTCCAGTTATCACCTGAGCACCTTAACCATTTGCATAAGTAGCAACAGAATATAGTAAAATAATAAGGACACGATGAAATTTTAACATTTATTACCATTGCTTTTATATAATTTACTGGATTATAATTTTGTACAATTTAATTTTTAATGATGATTAGGTTTGACATGATAGTCCTGCATGTTTCATCTGCACACACAAAAAAAATCCTGGAATTTTCACCATGAGCTCTCGTGAGCCATGAAGAGTGAGTTGTAGCTCCCCATTGCTCTAGGCCACTCTGAGCAAGGACATTGCCGGCTCCATTTGTCATCTCCTCCACCTTTTGGCTTTTGAAGGTTTAAGAACGTCCACATACAGAACCTGATGGGAGCCTCACAGTGGCCCTGAAAGGCACCATGTGATTGTCATTCACCACCCATGTCATCTATGTCTTGGGGCAGGGACTGAGACTCAGAGAGGGTGAATGAGAACACACAACTTTTGGGCACCTACTCAGTGCCCAGGTTCTGTTAAGGTCATTTGGGCAAGCTCTTTATAGCCTTTAGGGTCCCTGAGTGGTGCAAACAATGAACACCCTGGGCTGCTGGTAAGTTAGAGGGTCAAGTCGACCCAGAGGCATCTCAGAAGAAAGGCCTGGCATTCTATGATGCTCACCTTCCC